AGGTAGTCAACAATAGAAGGGATTTTATTTTGTTCACTGAAAGTAACCATGGCTGTCACTGTTAGACGTGCATGGAAATGTAACTGCTTGTAGTATTTCTGCCTTTAACCAGCACCATATGAAAGTCAATTATTCTGTCCACAAGCTTCAGATACAACTCCAGCGTGCATAGAGCTTGCATCGCCCACTCCCTCACACTCATTTTCTCCAGTGGATTCTTGGGATGCACACAGTGAGCTTTGCTGTTCCCTGACTAGTATTACTAGTATTACAAAGCTACTTCAGGATTGAATGCTGTCCCATAACTAAGAAAATATCAGTGTTTTGCAATTCTGTCACAGCCTAATTCTGTTGTACTAAGTATGTGTGCAGTCTTAGCTTTAACCTAGGTTGCCTATTTTCATTTAAATCTGCTTCCTCCAAAACTAAGACTGTACTTTAAAACTGCATCTCCTCTCAACTGAATATGTGAAAAAGAAAACATCAGACCGGCAGCAAAAATAACTCCCCAGTTAATCTCTCTGCTGCACCTTCTGAAATTTTTTTTTTAAATTTTATTTATTTTTACAATATTATATTGCTAATAAAGGTTTCTAGGGCCATATTTAGCTGAAACTCAGTTTTGCTGAAATTCCAGAGCAGAGCGTAAAACAAGACAAAGTATGGGAAGGACGTGAACTGCAATTTTGGCATCCTGTATTGCTTTTTCAAGTTCATTCAAAGCACATGTTTCAATATTGCTTGCAAAAACCTGATGAAGTTTGAACAGATAGCTACAAAATTTCAGTTGCAGTGTATGTTTCTTCTAAAAACATATTTAAACCTCTAGAATTCTGTTTTCTCCTGAAATCAGATGCATATCTTTAATCTCCAAATCAGAAGACAACTTGAAAATCCCCACCTGAGCTTGCAGGCAGTTACATGGACAGAGTGAAACTTCATGCTGTTCAAATCTGCTTTAAAGAGCTGCCATTTCCAGAGATTTCAAAGGTTTCTCACACAGTTAATGTATAAAAGATCCAAGCACTCAGCATGACAGCATTGATGACTCAGATGAAATCACGTCACAGAATTCACAACTTTTAATGAAATCCGCCTGTTTTTATTTTAATCAGCATAGTGTAAAATCCGGGATACAAACAAAATTTTCAGGCTTTCAGAGATTTGACTGGCTGAATTGTCTGTTTCAAAAGTTGTTGCAGCTACAGCTTCCATTTCTAAGTTGTGACCCAGTCTCAGGGCAAAAAACAACCATGGAAAAAATTCTGGAGAGTAAAAAAGATTCTGCTTTTTCTAACTAGGCATATTTTAATTGCAGGGCAACACAATAGAATGAACCAGTAAAAGCAGTTTAAAACTTTGTGACATGAGTTTCACAGGAAGATAAATACAATCTTAATTTTTTCATACTTTGAATGGTCAGACTTGGGCCACATTTACTCCATACACAGAGTGTAAGCTGGCCTTACAGCACAAAATCCATCTGAGAGCTTGCTGCTTTATTTCTTCTATTAGCAGCAGCTTTCAAGGTACCTCTTTAAAATGGGTTCAGGCTTCAAAAAGTCTTTTCCAACATTATTCAAGAGACACTTGATATTTTCATTTACTTGCAGTTAAATGTTTCATAAATACTAGATAGAACATCTAGTTATCCTAAAATGAATAAAGATGAACTGAAAGTACAATATTCTTCCAAGTAAGCAGGAAAGGATCTAGAATTTATAGTCATAACAGTAGCAATCTTATTAGGTTTCACATTTTAAATAGATTTATATTAATAAAACATGCTCAGCTGTAACGAAACTTGAGCTGTTAATCTATTTTGATTGTAATCTTGAAGGTAATATGGGACTTTTATTCTTCATGATGCTTGACAAGTATGTGCATTGTATTCAATATGGTTATCTTAGTTATTTAATGTTACTACAGTGCCCATAATTTAGGTAGATAAACTCAGGTGAACAACTTTACATAAGCAACAAGCAGCAAATAATAAGCAGGATTAAACCTCAAGAACACTGAGGTCTAATAGCCTTATGAAAGCCTATCTGAAATGGAGGTGTTCACCAGTGTTAAAATGCTCACCAGCATTGTGAATTCTGTAGTGGGATACCACAAAGTCATATCAATAAGTCTCACTTATCTGGTTGCCCAGAAACCTCTGATAAAATGGAACTGCCAGACACATATGATAAGATCATACACTGAACCCACTGCAGGCAAGTTTTCAAACAGTTTGGTAGGTTCTTTGCTGATCATCCAACACGTAGATTGAAAGCAAAGGAAAAGATGTGACTGTATTCAGACAGATAGCTGGTACAGAAAACGTGTCTCAGAACATCCAGAATTACATTGTTTATTAGTACAGCAGAGATTCCTGAAGATTGAACTAATTACATCTGCATATTTCCAGACCCTGGTCTTTTCAGTTAGAAATAGCATTAGTAAAAGCTGTCTGCTTTTTCTTGTCAGATGTGAACTACAGAGGACCATTGAATCAGTGGCCATTTAGATACAATAAAAAACTTCATTTCCTAGCCAGACTGATTCCCTGCACTGGCGCTCAGTTGCATCACTAACCCCAGTCAGAGCTCAGGGGGTCGGATGAATCTTACAGCTCTTTGCATCCTCCAGCAGAACACTTTCTGCTGTCAGTGCTATCTAGGTGTGGGTTTGCACCTTGTAAACACAGGGATGACTCTAAGCAAGACAACTTGCTGAAATACATTTTAGTTAATGTTCTTCCCCTTTTCCTAACTGAATAAAATTGTAATCTGAAAGAAAGTTCTTCTTTACAATGAAACTAGCCTGAAGGTTAGCAGGAGGCAAGAAGCTCTGTCTTGGTCTCATTCTTCTGAACAATCATTGTTGCAAGTGACAGTACTAAGAAGCGACATTATGTTTATATGGGTAAGTACTGCAGTGAATACATTCAGAGTTCAAGCAACTGAAATATCAAAATAGAATATCAAAAAATATCAAAAAAAAGATCCCCCCATAACATTAATATTGCTCATTTGTGAAGATCTATCCCTGTAAATGCACTGTCAGTTAAGCAAAGCAGCAAATGGTCTGAAATCATCAGTGGGACTAAAGATTAGACATTACGTGTCTGAGTCGCACTGATCACACTGAACAAGCACTTTGTTATCTGCCAGTATAACCTATCCAGTGATAGGTAACTCTCTTCACGTACTGCACAGAACAACTCCTGCCAGGAAGCTCCTGGTAACATTCACAGCATAGTTAGAAGCAAGTGTTTTCCAATGAAGTCTGGGTCCTCTGATCTTCTCCATGTTAGTAGCCCTCAGTAGAATAAAGTGGATTGGCTCTCAGTATTGACATTCCAGCAGAGAGTAGAGGATGAAGGCCATTCACGCATATGGAGAAAATCAAAGTTTCTTCTTTAACCAGCTTCTTAATCCCCTTTAATCATGATCATTTGTGACTTACCTCCAAGCTGTAACTTTCAGACCCATTTTGCATTATGAACGGGTACAATGGAATTATCTGACGTCCCATAACCCAGAAAGTCCCTACCAGATGGACAGCTTTTCTATTCACCTAAGGATCTTTGAATAAGCATCACGTCAATGTTAAACATGAAATTGATGTAAATTCTGTACTGTCATCTTTTTAGCAGAACAGAAGCACTTTGCTGCCAATTTGCATGATAAGTTTCTAACAGGGAAAGAGACAAAAGGCCAAGAGTTGAGCTATTAGTAGTAGTAATGAAAGCAGTGCTGACTTTTTTTTCCACGTCATATTTGGATTGTTGACTTTGAGCTATATGTTTGCTAGACAGACTCCTGTAACAAAAACAGTTGTTCCAAACCCCTTAGCCATAACAGATCTAGCAGCTAACAACTAATTCTAGTGGTATCACATGTAAAAATAATAATAAATATAGCACTGAAAGTCATTCTCAAAGAGTATACAAACTTAAGAACAAAATTGGTAATGCGTAATTACACGTCTCAAGGTACCACAAAAGGAAGCCTTAAGGAGGATTTTGAGGAACAGATATTGAGAAGGATTTGTGAGTATTCCTCAAATACAGTGTGCGTTTAACCACTAAAGTGAAAAAGGTGAGCATGAAAATGGCTAGTAGGCTTGTTGCAAAAACTTATTTCATCTGTTTCTCACAAGAAGCAGCAACAGGCAAGTTGAACAGAGTTTTATCTGTGAAAAATGGATGTACATTCTTCTGCAAGGGGTAAGGAAGTGAATCAACACCTAAGAAAAATAATCATAATGGGAAAAAAACAACTAAAGAAGCTCCCTACCCTTAATCCCTCTTTCACTTTAGACTCCATATTTCCAGGAAGCTAACCAAATCTTTGGAACATTCTCACAGGACTGCTATACTTTCACTGGAAAATCGTCAAGATGCACTTCAAAAAAAATAAACCCTGCATCTTTACTACTTTTCTTTACATTCTTCAGCTGTTCACAGCCTCAAACACTAACATTCATTCGTCAAATACAAGTATGATGCCATAAATATCTAGTTAAAACATGAAATAAATCAGGATTAATATTCCCAGATACCATTAACATTTATAAACTCCATATGAAGTTACGTCACACAAGAGACTAGCCTTAACCTTTAGAAGGTTTGTACCACAGTGCACAATAAAGTGATTATATAATAGAATTTCCAGGATAAGAAATGCTCGATTTATGGAGAGCAATGAAAAACAAGGTCTAATCATAAAAAGCGACATGGCTGTTGGATTGTCCTTACTATAATTTTAAAGCAACAAACATTGCAGCACAAGTATGCAGTAATGTACACGTTCTGTTAAGAGGAATGTTTAAAAACAGAAATATCAAACAAATGTAATACTTTTGTAACCTCTATTTCAGGCTAATAATAACAAGTACTTAAAAGTGTATCATTAATTGTGGTCATACATAAACAGCCTCAAAAAGGTCATTTATATACATTTGCATGTTCACACAGGGCCAAGGGAAACTAGAGCCTTAGCTCAGCTTACCAAAACAATAGCTTCTGAAAAAAATTATCTTAAACCATGGGACCTTATCAGAGCCATGAAGTTTCAGCCATCCTCAATTGAGTTCCTGAAAAAAATAAAAATAAAAATCCATAAAAGCATACGTTTAAGAACTATGAACTTATATGTAGCAACCCTCTGGGTACAGATGAGTTGATCTGCAAGCCAATTGCAAGAATGATTATTTCCAAGAGCAAAAGATACATATTTTCCCACAAAATAAACGTTGGTTATTTCAGACAACTGTAAGCTTCCTCAGTAAACTCAAACCTTTTTAATTCCTAGAGCTAACTCCCCTGTCTGGAAAAAAGCTTGAAAAAATTATTACAATTTTTATTTTAATTATTGAATCATTCTATCATTAATCTACACAGATGTCTCTTTATTGTTAAACTGAGCAAATCAGTAACTGAAAACCTGCTGCAATGCTGCTGCAATGCCAGTACAGGGAGTGACTGTAATCTGAGATCTAACGCAGTGCCAAAAAGTTAAGCCATTTATAATATGTCACACAGAGCGAAATCTGGGCTGGTAAAATTATAATTGATCACAGGAATCTGTGGCCATGCAGCATTTAAGCAATATAGCATATTTAATGAAGAATAAATTATTTCAAGTAATTGTCATAAACTCAGCCCCTGAAGAGAACACAAAGCTGAATTTTGGCTTTAATTGTTATTATATGGGCACTTGAACAGATACAAGATGTTGGGATATCAATGCAATATAGAGCAATTTTATATATCTTCCACTCCCTTTGGACAGAATGGATTCGCATATAAGTAATGTTTGAGCTGTGCTAAATTGTATCTAAAGAAGTGCTAAAAATGGCAAGTACGTTATCCATTCACATCCAAGCTGTCTCTACAAGCTACACCTCATACTTCTTGGCAAATTTCCATTAAAGTTGAACACCTCTTATGCGTTTGTGCTAACATTTTCCTTGCCAGGACATTCTTATAGCAGCCTAAACATTTTGATTTGTTTTGCCTGACAAGGCACAAGTAAACTCACATAAGTCCTTCTTTGCAGGAAGAAAAATAGCACGGTGTGATCTGAGAAATACCTTGAACGTGAACAGCAGTCTCCTTTGGCATCCAGCTGCTGTGATACATCTTATTGATTTTCGCCCTCAGTAAATCTAGGCCATGTTTCACTTAAAGTGCCATCTTGTACGGCATTTACTTTGTGGCAGAACCTTATTACACAGGAAATCCTCTGATCACCTCACCCTCTGTGTTCCTCAGTCTGAAAACCCCTTCTTTATGAATAGCCTCACTGAAGCCAGACTGCCTGGTCTTTCCCCCATGCTCAGGGCAGAACACTACGGCAAGAGCAGTGGTTGGGTGGTTGCTGTTGTGGTAGGGAGGGGAGCAAGGGAAGAAGTCAAGTAGAGGAAAGCAAGAAGAGCTTGGAGAACAATACGATTCTCTGCTTCCACTGTGGCATTTTCCACCAAGAACAGCTGGCCAAGCAAATAACAGGAAAAACATGAACTATTTTTCTTCTCTGCTAATGTCAACAGAGGATTGGGACTGAGTGAACACAAACTATGCCATGCTCTTTCTTTTACTCAGCTGCTATCTAGTCAAAAGTGCTCATGGGCTACCACTGGAAGAGGAGAGAAAAATATGCATTGCTTAAACAAGTGACAATATAGTACTGCTCCTAAGATCACTACACATGCAAAATATCTTCATTTTATCACAGCCTGCCAAGTACAGACAGAGAACTTTAACTTTGGGAAGATAAGCTCATTGCTTGAATTATGTTTTGCATAAATATATTTGTCAACTTGTTACTGTTTTTCTACTTTGGTCACTAAAGATCTGAAAAAAAAAAAAATTACAGAATAGACACCACTTATTTAATCCAAAATATATTTTGGCATTTCTTGACTTGCTGAATTACAGGCCACAGGGCTTCTTACATGCTAGCCATCTCTAGTCTTTAAGATGACCAGATATGAGTGGGGCATAGATCATGTTGACAAGTTTCTCTTTTAACATGCCCGTGGTAAGCTAAAGCATGCTACTGCACAGTAACTGTGTGACACTTCAGGAATGAAAGCAATATTAGCTTTTTATTAGTTCCTGTAATTAGTTCCTACTAAAGGCTGAATGCATGCACACAAGTGGCACACTGCAAGCATGAAAAGGACATACAACAGTCATGTAAGCCTGTCACACCCGAAATTTTTTCATGAGGAAGTTAAACAGCTTGTTTTCTTCAGCTTGTTTTCTTTAATGTGTGACCACTGCACAATTCAGAAACTGAAAATAATATCTTCATGATTTTATTGGCTTACAGCAAATTTCAAGGGGTTAGGAAAAGCAAAGCTCTGAAAAATGGCTATGGCTATTTATATAACTTGCCGTTCTTGTAGCCTTACTTATATTTAGATCAGGTCCAAATTTTATGGCAGTATCTCATCAGTGTATCTTATCTACTACAAATAATTACTCCATGTAAACTCAAAATGTTCAATTCTGTTATAACCCACATTGAAGCATGTATCCACAACCCCAGTGCTCATGTGAAGAACAGAATCACCCCAGAATCTCTTCCAGGTGTTCTTTCTGATAACTGTGTTGACTTCAGTAGTTTTCATACCCTACCTAAGTGTTGAGATGTTTTGAGAATAAACTCCACAGTGCTCAGTCCAGGATATCTCAGAACACAAAAAGATCATCTTGTGATAAATTGATGTTAAGGAAGAAAACCTGCCCTGCTAATAACTGTAGGTGAGCAAGTGGATGATAAATGATAGAAGAAAACTATTTGGCAGCCAGATGAAACAACGTTGATATTCTTTCCAAAGATCACTTACATAACCACTGGGTAATTTCTACATGATTCTCCATGAGAAACCAGGATTTTCTTCTTTAGCTACTATATCACTGAAGAGAACAAAGAGCAGCATTCAGTGCCTTCAGCTTCCTGATATGGTCATACATGGTCACCTGAGCTACGTAACAAGAGAGCCTTTGGAGCTGGTTTGACACACGAAAGCACCAGCATTGTGTGCTGTCAGTACATATGCAACTGCAGATCCCCCAAGATAGCATTAGCTTTTAAAGACCTTGTGTTGAAACACCAGTATCCTACAGGGATTTTAAGAATGCAGAAGTGATGAACATTTTGTTCTGTGTGCAGAAGCATCTTTAAGCTTTATTCATTAGTAATAAAAATGTGGAGGGTCTCATGCAAGTCAAGTACAGATAGTTCAAGTCCCAGAGAGCACACTAAATCTTCCAGATAACATACTGATTGAATATTCCTGACATCTACCATAGTTCTGTAGGCTTCTAACACCAAACCACATGTGTATTCAAGTAACTGTTCTCCCGACGCAGTCTCTGCACAGCTCTATTTTACTTCCCATCTTTTATTTCAAATAAATAGCAGTTTTGCTAGCAGAGATTAAAGACACCACTAATAGCAGAATAAATTCCAGAATGTTTTTTTATATATATATTTAAAAAAAAATTGCAAGTTCTGGACTCTACACACCACAGTTTTGAGGGACTATTTATAAGACAGTAACTACCAGTCAGAACATGTTCTAAAATTAAATACATGCATTCTTAAAGGAAAGAAAAGGGGCTTTATGTATACTAGTCAGCTATGAAAAAAGGGAAGAACAGAGTTGGCAAAAAATCAAAACATCTCTCAGGGTATTTTATTTCATCTTTCCTTTCAAAACAGAAAAGCAAGAAAATTGAGTCATTGTATTATGCATTAACATCTATAGATCATTCATTCTGCAATGCAAATTAATGCTTTTTGTACTCCAAATCAACATTTATCAACAGCCTTTTCTCCTGCAACCCTAATATCCTATAGAGGACAACCTGCAGGCTTCAGGGTATTTTCTTCTGCTTGCTTTGGATATGTTAGTTTGTAGCAGGTGTTTAAGTGAAAGTTCTCTCCAATCCTAAACATCAAGGAAGAAGTTATGGTGATGATCAACAGCTATAGTAATATCACACACTGAGAGAAAGACATCTAAGTCTTTCCATCACCCAAACCAGGATTCTGATTTGTTGCTGTATCATAGCTCTGGAGGATTGTGTGACAGATATTTAAGTTCCTGTTTCAATTTCTCTATTGCCGTACACTGCAACTGAACATTCTTAGCTCAAGCTCCAAAAATAAATACATGCAAAAACAAATTTTGACCAGGGAGGTTATGGAGTCTACTTCTCTGGAAATATTCAAGGTCCATCTGGATGCCTACCTGGGCAGCCTGCTCTAAGGAACCTGCTTTGGCAGGGGGGATGGACCCAATGATCTTTTGAGGTCCCTTCCAACCCCTACAATTCTGTGATTCTACTACAGATATTACTTGAATAAAGATGCTTTGAAGCCTCCTCCCTTCCCCCCCCCCCCCCCCCAGCTGAATTAAAATAATGTTAAAAAAATGGGGATACAGTATGGCCAGAAAAAAAAAAAAAATCACCAATCTTTTTTGGTGTACTTATTTAAAGTGTTCTTCAATGCACAGAACCCACTTGTGGGTAGAGAGAGTAATAATTCATTGCCCATTCTCGAATCTCTCTCAAAGAAAATTAGTGCTAATTTCACAGGAATGAGAGTGCAGAATGTTCAGATCCATTTGTAGTAAAGATTTAAGATTGATTAACTTTAACAAACAGCAGCAAGAATTCAGAAAATGCCAATATTTTAACAGAATATACTTTACATCATTCACCTGCAGAAGCAGAGAAAGATTAAGGCCCAAAGTCATTTAGAGAGCTCATGTGAACTCTTTCAAGGACTTCCTAAATATTAACTTTTTAATTACATTTTTGATGAGGATGTTGTACAAAAACATGCACAGATGCAAGTATTAGATGGGGAACAGCATAAATGTTTATGAACTCCCTGCTATTCTGTCTCTATTGCTACTTTTTGTGTGGCAATTTGAAAATTCTCAAGTGAAATCAGCAGCATTATGGAGACAGTCCTCAAATACAGGGGGAAAGCAATTGTTTCGTTTCAAATACTCTGAAGAGTTTTTTACTACATTTTTTTTTTTTTTTACACATTTCCAAATAAACACCTG